CATTTGAAATGAACTCTGAAAAGGTTCCAAGTTGGCATGGTATCATCATTTCACCCACATAGAATGTGCAAGAAAGTAGAGAGGCTTATGGCAAAAACAGGATGCACTTCGTGTACAAAACACACAATCTCTTTCGAAGTATCAGGGTTTCATACGGAAACTCGTCTGTTACAAAGGGATTTCATTTTTTTGAACTTATTTGAACCACCTTGTTTTTCTGTGTTAAAAAATGCACCATTCAAAGCCACATCATCAATTTACAACCCTTTCTGACTTCATTTGTTATTTTCATGCATTTACTGATTATTTTGAGCTATAAGACCATGAAATTGAAAAGCATTTGAAATTAACTCTGAAAAGGTTCCCAGTTGGCATGGTATCATCCTTTCACCCACATAGCATGTGCAAGAAAGTAGAGAGGCTTACGGCCAAAACTGGATGCACTTCGTGTACAAAATTGACAATCTCCTTCGAAGTATCAGGGTTTCATACGGAAACTCGTCTATTACAAAGGGATTTCATTTTTTTGAACTTATTTGAACCCCCTTGTTTTTCTGTGTTCAAAATACACCATTCAAAGCCACATCATCAATTTACAACCCTTTCTGACTTCATTTGTTATTTTCCATGCATTTACTGATTATTTTGAGCTATAAGACCATGAAATTGAAAAGCATTTGAAATTAACTCTGAAAAGGTTCCAAGTTGGCATGGTATCATCATTTCACCCACATAGCATGTGCAAGAAAGTAGAGAGGCTTACGGCAAAAACTGGATGCACTTTGTGTACAAAACTGACAATCTCCTTCAAAGTATCACGGTTTCATACGGAAACTCGTCTGTTACAAAGGGATTTTTTTTGAACTTATTTGAACCCCCTTGTTTTTCTGTGTTCAAAATGCACAATTCAAAGCCACATCATCAATTTACAACCCTTTCTGACTTCAATTGTTATTTTTCATGCATTTACTGATTATTTTGAGCTATAAGACCATGAAATTGAAAAGCATTTGAAATGAACTCTGAAAAGGTTCCAAGTTGGCATGGTCTCATCATTTCACCCACATAGCATGTGCAATAAAGTAGAGAGGCTTACGGCAAAAAATGGATGTACTTCGTGTACAAAACGGACAATCTGCTTCGAAGTATCAGGGTTTCATACGGAAACTCGTCTGTTACAAAGGGATTTCATTTTTTTTGAACTTATTTGAACCCCCTTGTTTTTCTGTGTTCAAAATGCACCATTCAAAGCCACATCATCAATTTACAACCCTTTCTGACTTCATTTGTTATTTTTCATGCATTTACTGATTATTTTGAGCTATAAGACCATGAAATTGAAAAGCATTTGAAATGAACTCTGAAAAGGTTCCAAGTTGGATGGTATCATCATTTCACCCACATAGCATGTGCGAGAAAGTGAAGAGGTTTACGGCAAAAACTGGATGCACTTCATGTACAAACAAACAGTCTCTTTCGAAGTATCAGGGTTTCATATGGAAACTCGTCTGTTACAAAGGGATTTCATTTTTTTTTGAACTTATTTCAACTCCCTTGTTTTTCTGTGTTCAAAATGCACCATTCAAAGCTATAAGACCACGAAGTTGAAAAGCATTTGAAATGAACTCTGAAACCAAAGTACATACATAGTTCTCCAGAGCATTAAAACCAAAGTACATACATAGTTCTCATTGAACAACACATAGCTCTCAAGAGCATATAATTAAACCATACATTGAAATTATGTAAAACATTTCAATGCAAAAACAAATGCGATCATAACCACAACCAAGGTAACAACTGATCCAACCGCATAATGATACCAAGCCTCGATATGAATGGCATATTTTCTTATCTTTTTAATCTTCAACCGCATTGCATCCATCTTGATCTTGTGATCATCGACGACATCTGCAACATGCAACTCCAATATCATCTTCTCCTCCTCAATTTTTCTTATTTTTTTCCTTCAAGTAATTATTTTCTTCTTCAACTAAATTTAACGTCTCGACAATAGGGTCGGTTGGAATTTCCGGTTCAACAACCTCCTAGATAAATAAAATCTATGTCACGTTGGTCGGCATAATTGTCATAAACAATAAATGAACCAAATAGTTATGAAAAGATAATATATACTACATCTGAATCATAGACAGGACGAGGACTGACGGGGGCTGATACCAAAACCATCGCACTATATAATAACAAGGAATAATAAAAGTAAGAAAATTAGACAAGTATCTATCTGAAGTCAGAATTTTTTTCTTTCAGAAAGAAGATAAGAACAAGAGGCTCGCCATGGTGGTGTCGGCAACGAGATCGGCGCGGGCGATCGACGGCAGTGAAGACGGGGCGGGGACGGGGCGTGATGGACCGCTAAATCTAGACAAATCTCATTGAAAATGGAGCTCGGAGGTCGAGTTTCGAGAGGAGAAAGCTTAACTAGTGTGGCTCGGGCATTTCATCGAACACCTCATGTGAATAGGAGGTGAACTATAGCACCCAAATGCCCTCCCCTCACCGGCTTGACAAAACAGAGCACTCGTGAGTGCTCTGCCGCGGCGGTGGGTATATATAGGCAAGTTATTTGTCCCGGTTCGTGGCATGAACCGGGACTAAAGCCACCCCTTCTGTCCCGGTTCAAGCCACGAACCGGGACTAATGGTTGTGGGCCAGGAGCGAGGACCATTGGTCCCGGTTCGTGGCTTGAACCGGGATAAATGGTTCCACACGAACCGGGACCAGTGCCCACGAGGCCCCGGCCGCCCCCCGGGGCTCACGAACCGGGTCTAATACCCCCCATGGGTCCCGGTTCTTGAAGAACCGGGACTAATGGGCTGGCCAGGCCCGAACGGTAGCCCTGTTTTCTACTAGTGACAGATAGAAGTGCCTAATAGGGTTGAGCCCAAATACATATTGACAAATACTCCCTCCGTCTCATAATATAAGAATGCTTTTGACATTACAGTAGTGAAAAAACACTTTTATATTATGAAACGGAAGGAGTACTAAACTACTTTAGTATGAAAACACCAAGAAAAGATTCTTGACAAGGTCACATAGAAAGGGTTTTAGCAAGACTCGGTGCCCTAAAACAATGATGAGAAAACACACACGAATGGAATTCCATACACATGTATGTTTGGATTAATCATGTCGCCATGGTATGCTAACAACCAAATATGTCTAGTGGTGCAAAGAGTTGCAAGCAAGATACTAAAGTGGTCAAGGTGTTGATCATAGGACAACGGCGAAAATATCTTTAAGCACCAGAATAGGATTAAAGACATGTTTCTCGCTAAGGAGATGATGAAGAGCTAAATGTAAAGTGTTATACTAATGCAAGATCGTTGTAAGTAGTTACATTGATGCAATCTTCATCATTGGTCCGGGCGATTTGCGATTTTCAATCGGGATTTTGTATGATACATAGAATGGTGGCACAATAAGTTGGAATTTTTTCAAGTAGAATACTATGGTGGATTCTATAGTAAAGACTAAGTATATTGTCACTTCGAAAGCGACAAAGAATGTCATTTGGATCAAAATTTATTACTCAGGTTGGTATGGTTTCAAGATGGCTGAGGCCAATGAAACACTATTGAGGATACTGGCTCCATAGCCAAGTGTTAGGAGTGAAAATCCTATGAGTGATTCAAATATATACAAAGCCAGTTCTACATAATTTTTGATTTTTTTAAAGCCTGGAGAAGCAAAGATATGCATGGTACACACGGACATGAACGTGCTAGATTCATTGGCGAAGTATATTTTACACCGGTATGCCATAGGTGTAAAGTGCATTAGCAGTGGCTAGATTATTGAATCTACCGCAAGTAAAAGATAGTTGGAAATATGACCTAGAGGCGGTAATAAATGTTATTATTTATTTCCACACTTATAATTAATACTAGTTCTATAACTTCTGTGTTGTTGAAAATGTGATTCAAAGGAAACTCATATGCATGTGTGGAAGTATAAACACAAAGTAGGTTCCTAGTCATGCCTCTAAGACTAGCTCGTTTGTTGCACGATGATCCCATTTTCCCGAGCATAGGGAATTGTTAAAGTAACAAGGACACCAGCAACAAGGAGAGCACGTTGTGAACAGAACAATATTTGTTGAACAAATCTAGGGACTCGTCAATTCAAGAATGAGATTTGTTTCTCCGACGATGGAGAGATACTTCCTGGGCCCTCTCGGTATTATGACATCCATCATCGCCTGGCCATACACAACGTGATATGATCATGGGGGTACTAGAATGCAAAAACGAGAAAAGAGAGCAATACCCATAACGAGGATAACTTGGTATAGTGATCACATGGATACCTATAAGTCGCACCTCGGGATTTGTTATGTATAACAAAGCAAAGGGAGTTGTGTGCTTGAACAAAAAGTTTGCTCGATAAATAAATAATTCGTATATGTGTACAAGTCAATATGGATGCCTAGATCCCGCTATTGATTAACCAGAAGGAGTTCCGTGTCATGTCTGCACATTACCGAACATGTGGGGTCTCCTTCACATGGTTTTGAGAATGGTTTATTTTGAGTCTGTTTTTTCTAGTCCTTTCAGGGCCATGCCTTTTTTAGTTTTGTTTACTTCTTTTTTCATTTCATTTTTTTTATTTTTCTATTCTCCTTTTTGTGAACATTTTTGAAATACAGGTTTTTTGAAGTTCATTACCATGTTCTTTGTACACCTTTTTGAAAATTGCAAACACTTTACAGTATGGAGCCCATCACAATCCACTCCACACATATGCCAAGTTCTGTGCATGATCATATTTTCACAAGCACAGCACGGATCACACGGGTCTATCTTCATCTTACACGCGGAGCAACGATGCTCTGATACAGAGGCAGGGAGAGGCCACTGCTTATTTACCTAAAGTGCGACAATACTTGGAGATGCTTTCGATGGAGCGAGTGGATCACCCCCTTCATAGAATACCCCCTTTACCCGAGTTCTTCCCTGTGAAAGATCTGTAGAAGCTCATGAACCTCGCGGTGAATTCTGCCAGGATCTGTAGAAGCTCATGAACCTCACGGTGAATTCTGCCAGGATTTTGTAAGGGTTAGACTACAGTTCACTAGTGAACCAAATCAAAAAATAATAATTAGCATATACCTTCAATCTTTATGAAGTGTTGGATGGCTTCCCCTTGGTCACGGCCTTCCTTGGACAAATGTTCTATACTGATGACCAAAGTTGTGTCCTGAGATCTGTATTCTTTGAGTTGTTCTTTCTGAAACCTGCGGCCTGCGCACTGCTCACAAGCAAGCAGGCAAAGAACACATACATCAGTGTATACACACAATAATCTAGTTGAGAAATGGAAACGAAATATCACGCAAGTGTGACTGAAGACAAGTGAAGATGATTGTAGTCATGCTCACATGGTTAAACTCCGATGCCAGTTCATCGACGCTATTCTGAAAATCTTTATCCCTGTCCCTTTTCAGTTCAGTAACCAGGTGCTGCATCTCAAAAGGAAAAGGAAAAGGAAAAAGAAACAGTAATTATCATTATCTGGGCTCCTCAAATCACATAAAACATGCGAGAATAAGGTAGGGCAGAGCTTACACGGAAAATGAAATAAGGTGACACGCTATGCTCAATCATTTTTCTGATCTTCCCCCGAATGAGATACAGCCTGTGTACAAGTCAAACCAGTAGATTTTATTTTTGTTGTGAAGTTGAAGAAAGAAGCTCACGCGTACTGAACTGCAAAACAACACGGTGGAAGGGTAGCATACTGCTTTGGACTTGGCTCCTCCAGGATTTTCTTGGCCACATTATATATTTCTTCCTCCCATCCTGCCAGAATAGGTTGACCTTCTATGAATGGGTAGCTGTGTTTGTTAAGAGAGTTGTTTATCAATTTGAAAAACCATAATTATAGAAATTCTTTTGACACGGGCAAAGTAGCGTAAATAGTTAAAAATATGAACAGATACTCGTAAATTAGTAACCATGATAACAAGGATGAAGCATGCACCTCTACAGATCAATTGCATATTCAGTACTATTACTCACGATTAATATCATGCCATTTGGAACTTGCAAACACTTGTAAAACAAAGGGGAATGAAATCATGGTGTGGACCCATTTCTTTGGTAGTGCAGCATCATTTTTAGTCATAACAAGGCAGCAGCATTTGCACAGTAAATTGACCAGTGCTATGCTGGCCTGCTGGCACACTGTGGCTTCCAAAATGGACTATTATTATGTCGATATACCATCAGAATATTACTAGGAGGAGGGATCCATGTGCTTACTTTGCTCTCCATGTAGCTTCAAAAGAACGTATTGCCTGTCGGAGATTGTTGCCTGCGCTCACTGCAATTCTACTGGCAATTCCGCGAGGCAAATCTATGCCTTCTTTCATAGCAATGAACTCCAGAACCTTGATCATCTAAGAGAAGATAATCTTTCATCAAATTGTCCAGCAATGTAATGAGAAGATAAGCATCCATAAAGTAATAAACAGACCGAAGTTGAATGTACCTCCTCAAATGAAGGTGGCTGAAGCGTGACGACCTTGCATAGATGTTTCACAGCCTCAAGGTTTGAAGAATCGGAGGAGCAGAAGATGATTTTGTTGCAACCTGCATACCTTCCCAGAAACCAACCGATATAATGTTGAAAATCGGAGGAGAGTCTGTCAGCGTCGTGGACCACAATCACTGCATATAAGAAACCAATAACCCTTTTACATGTCGTTTCACATCAACCAAGAACAGGCAGCTGTTAAAAACTCATGTCTTGATAGACAGATGTGCCACCAAACGAGAAGCAAAACTGTATGAGCATGTACCTTTGCAGTTAGTATGATCGCAGATCGAGTCTGGTGGCAGGATTGATTCATTTAGCAAAGAGGTTATGACATGATTCTCGTAGCCATGTAAATCAGCCAAGTTAACCTCCACATGATGACCTGAAATCTTGACTTTCACATCAATGTGTCTGGCCATTTCTCCCTTCAGTTCCATCCTCCTTGAGTGTTCCTGTACCTGTTAATAACAGAAATGGTAAATACATAAAGCATATTCTGAATTTGAAGCACCAAGGTTCGGCTAGAATTCGTACCTGCAGATTATGAGGACCAAAAGCATCCCTTAGAAGGGCCAGCACCATGCTTCTCTTCCCGACCGCCTGCGCGCCTTCGAAGATGAAATGGTTGCACTCTTGTTCCGTAACCTGGATGCAGGAACAGTGACAAGATTTAATCCCAATTTAGCTCTGTAGATTCATGACTCTGTTCCAATGCTTGGCATCAATGATGCAATGCTAGAGGTGACAAAGGAATTTGTGATGTGTACCAGCCGGTGGAGCTCGTCGGCGACGGCCTTGTTGCAGATGAATTCCCCGAGCAGACTGGGCCGGTACCTGTCCGCCCACACGTACTCGTCGTCCGCCGCCGACCCCGTCGATTCCACCGACAGCTGCTGCGGAGAGTCCACCCGCGGCGACGACGTTCGCTTGCGCGGGACCCTCACCCAGATGTTTGCTCCTCTACAAACGGTGGTGGCCGTATCGCCGCTCCCACCGCCCGCAGCCTTCACGGGCTTGTCTTGGGATCCCGTCGGCGTCGGCGCTCGGGCGACCGCGACGGCGGCGGCTTCCTCTCTCTCCCTCAAAGGCCTCCTCGCCGCGACATTCCGCGCGTCCGCGTGGCCCTGGCGTGCCGGCACCTGCGCCGCCGGGGACGTCGACGCGGACAACGGCCGGGTCTGCGTCTGCGGGGGCGGGGTGGCGGCGCGGGCGCGGGCGCTGAGAGCGGCCCTGCTTTTGGGGAGGCAGGCGGCGCCCCAGCGGTGGAGCATGAGCTTGACGAGCCCGGCGGGCACGGCCCGGTGCCTGTCCTCGCGTCGGCGGTCGTCGGCGAAGGCCGCGGAGAGGGTGCGGGCGGTGGGGGAGGCGGTCGGGGTCTCGGTCGCCATGGCGCGCTGTGGGAGGCATTGGCGCGGGGTGGTGGGAGGGAGGACGTGATGGGAATGGGGAGGCAGCCGGCCGGCGCGACCTCACCGAGGAGGAGGAGAAGGAAAGGCAGCCGGATTATGCCGCGCCGGAGGAATCATTCCGTTTGGCTAAGCTAATATATATTCCGGTGTCGCCTGTCTGAGCATCACGGTCGCCGTCGGGACGGGAGATTGGCCCGCCGGCCGCCGTGGGTTGGCTAACCGGCGAGTCTTTTCTTGATTTGTTTTTAGCCAAGAGCATCTCCATGAGCTCCCCCTATTCAAAAAACATATCAGATAGAAAAAGTTTTTTTTTCTTTAACAAAATACAAATACAGACGCACATACACACACCCCTATGAACATACGCACGCACACCCTACACTATGAGCATCTTCGGGAGACTGAGCCAGCACATCATCTTGAGATTGACGAAGTCGCCACAGACATCTTCCTAATCGACGTGAGAGTCTTCTACATATAGAAGAAGTTGAGCTAACAAAACACACCCCGGTTTTTTTAACATAAAACGCATCCAAGTTTCTTTAACCCATATTCGCCGCTCTCGCGAAAGCAAACCGCTTCGTAGAGGCGACAGATTGTGCCGCCCTTGGACGCCGGGAGCAGTAATCTTTCTTCCTCTCTGTCTGATGCTCTCGCAGTTGGTGGAGGGGACGAGCTCCTGTTTCTCTTCCTACTGTTCCATAGATTTAGTGCTTCGTCTTCGCCTAGCAGCACCAATTTGATCACGTTGATGCTGCGTCAAATAATGTGGCATCAGTCTCTTCCTCATCACGGTGACGTTCTTCCTGGTGATGCCGTTGAGCCGATGCCCTCATCTGCTTGCCGTTCGTTTCGAGCGGTAGGCCTTATGCTTCCTGTGTCTGGCGGTTGTCGCCTTTCATGGCGGTGCAGACAAGTGGGACAAATTGGTGCTAGTACAAGGTTGGTGGTCTCACGGCGGCGGACTTAGCGTTTCCCCCTGGCAATAGCAGCTGGATGCGTCAGATCTGAATCTAGGTCAGTGCGGGAAGCATCCTCGGCCAACACGCCACATCGTCAAGTGTCTATTCTGCAGGTCTGGTTTTCGACTCACAACGCCTATAAGGCTATGGCGCTGGCCTAGATTTTGGCTTGTTGGTGCTTTGTCTCTTCTCTCAGTGTGCGTCTCGGCGGTGCTGACGATCGATGGCGACTTGAGATTTGGTTGTTTTTAGGGACCCTGAGGGACTTATTTTATAATCTTTTATATGGGGTTCGTTATGCAATGTTTTCTGGACATCTGTCATATGTCTTGGTACATTGTTTTATTTATTACTTCCTCTGTTTTTAAATATAAGTTTTTTAGAGATTCCACTATGAACTACATACGAATGTATATACACATATTTTAGAGGGTAGATTCACACACTTTGCTCTGTATGTAATCCATAGTGGAATCTCTAAAAAACTTATATGTAGGAACGGAGGAAAACCCGACTTATGTCATGGCATAATCTTTTGTCCCGTCTGGATGCGATTAGCCTGACAGAAGGGCGGGATGTGTTTTGCTGGAACCTTACTACATCAGGATCTTTTACCATAGACTCTATGTATTGTGCGCTCACGCATTCGGAGGTACCGGTGAGTAATAATAAGAAAATTTGGAGATCAAAGATACCAAACAAAGTTAAAGTCTTCATGTGGTGTCTTTGTAGGGGAGTTGTTCTAACCAAAGACAACCTCGCACGGCGCACTTGGCAAGGGAGTAAGAAGTGTTGTTTTTGTACTCATGATGAGACCATCAGACACCTCTTTTTCCATTGCAACCTTGCACGTTCTATGTGGTCAGTCATCCAAATAGCGTCAAGTTTATATCCGCCCACAAGTGTTGCCAATATTTTTGGTCATTGGTTGGACGGTATTTCAAATAGGTTCAAAACGCTATTAAGGGTGGGAGTGTATGCCTTACTATGGTCGCTTTGGCTATGTAGAAATGATTTTGTTTTTAATGACAAAAATGCTTCTTCTTTGCAAGCTATTTTCCGTTGTACGCACTCGCTTCGTATGTGATCTAGGCTACAATGAGCGGAGGTCCAACCGCTATTCAAGGCGGTGTGTACGCGGTTGGAGTAGGTGGCTACAGGGTTTTTTACCCAACATGGGTGGCAGCATAACCTCCGGGTCGGGCCATCTCACCTTTCGACATAGGCACAGTGTCGGTCTATAGGACTCTACTATTGCCGATTTGTCGGTTTTTGTTTTCTTCTGGTTGTCAGACTTTTGATGTTTCGGCTGTGTGCATCCTAGTTATGCAGAGGCTGAATTTTGTTCATAATGCTTTGTATCCACTTGATGCTATATTTTTGAGTTAATAAAATCACCCTTTATCAAAAAGGAACGGAGGAAAACCCATATTCGCTAGTACTAGGGATGTTCTCCAGATATTGGCATCCATAAATAGAGCAGTACTCTTCTCAAGGTGACGTGGGAGTATACGCCATCCATTGGCTCGCGCCTAACAAAATCCGAAGCAAAAAATCTAGGTCCAGGCCCGGCCCAGCCTTCGGTCCTAGAATTCAGGCCTAAGCCTGGTCCGTCAATGAAAAGGTCAAAAAACCTTCTGGGCCTCGGGTCAGGCCTCTTCCCTAAATCGCAAATATGGCAGGTCCAGGCCCAGCCCGTCAATGAAAAAGCCCGTTGGGCCGCAAATATGCAGGCCTGGGCCTGACCCAGCCTGGCCTTGGGGCTCAAAACCTAGGCCCAGGCCCAGGCCATAGGCAAGACCGTCAATTCTATGTTAGACATAATTGTTTAACATTCTATAGGGTAATTCGGACATTTTCAGTTGCTAATTTATGGTTAATATCCCATCCTAACATATTCAGATTATCACGCAAAACCGTCTCCTCACTTCTCGCGCACCTGACCGGCCACCTCTTCTCCTTGCACACCTCACATCTCCAGGTGCCGCTGTGCTCCAGCTAATCTTCCGCTACTGACGCTGTAGTCGGCATGCATCTTGATGTCTCCAAGCGTATTGAAATTTGCATGTCACCTTAGGCACATCTATATATGCCTTAGTTATTGCACTTATGAATGACTCAATCAAACATAAAAAGAAAACAAAGAAAAAAGAAAATACGCACACAAATCTTCACGTAAGGTCAATGACATGAGACTTAGAGGTGCAATGCTTATGGCACATCTAAATATGTTTTTTTAGCTGGAACACCATGCATTCCATTAGCTAGTGGGATCGACTAAATCGTCGGCCACAACACCCATTACATCAGGGGGGAGGTTCGTGAGCCACACATGGTCACTACCAATGCCCATCCTCACACCACGACCAGCCAACAAATGGGCTGGCTTATTACCAAGCAACGCTCAAACAAGATCTTATACTCAATGAAACCCATCTGCAACAAATACTTGGACTCGCGGAAGAGGCACCCGAGTTATCTTCGATCAGCCAAGTTGGCTTCCATCGCTTGCTTCAGAGGGAAGCAATCCGTCATGAAGATTACACGCCCCATACCAAAACTTTCTGCCAAGTTTATGGCTTTCATGAGGGCCAAAGCTTCAGCATGTGTGGCCATAGAGAGGTTAGCGAGGAGTCCCGCAGCAGCAAACATGACATCCCCAAGCATGTCCCCGGCGATGCAGCCCCAACATCCCTCTCTGTTTGTGGCGAGAAAAGAGGCATCCAGGTTGATCATAATCCAGTCCTGAGGTGGCGGCTTCCATCTGCCTTGGTCAATTCCATTCCGCAGTAGTGATCATCATTTGGCTGCCAAACATCTCCGCATGGGTCCTCCGTTCGCCGTGTCTAAAGTTGTTCCGTTCACTACACCATTTCCACAACAGGCAGATAACTTTGAACTTCGTCATGTTTGGCAGGGCAAAAAACTTCTCGAGTACTTTTAAAGGTGAAGAAGCTCCCATTAGTTCCAGTCTGACATTGTCGAGACCAGCCGCCCTCCAAACTTGCTTGACCCATTTACACCTGAAGAAAAAATGGCCTCCATCTTCAAACAGCCGCCCACAAACCGCACAACGTGTATCTAGTTCAATTCCTCGCTTCGCGATGTTCATGTGGAGGGGGTGGCTACTGTGCCCGAAACGCCAAAGGAAGTGGTGGACCTTTCCCGGGCAGCCGATTATCCAAACGGCTTTCCATACAACATTGCGCCTGTTGGAAATATGCCCTAGAGGCAATAATAAAAGGATTATTATTATATTTCCTTGTTCATGATAATTGGCTTTCATTCATGCTATAATTGTATTATCCGGAAATCGTAATACACGTGTGAATACATAGACCACAATATGTCCCTAGTGAGCCTCTAGTTGACTAGCTCGTTGATCAATCGATAGTCATGGTTTCCTGACTATGGACATTGGATGTCATTGATAATGGGATCACATCATTAGGAGAATGATGTGATGGACAAGACCCAATCCTAAGCATAGCACAAGATCGTGTAGTTCGTTTGCTAGAGCTTTTCCAATGTCAAGTATCTTTTCCTTAGACCATGAGATCGTGTAACTCCCGGATACCGTAGGAGTGCTTTGGGTGTAACAAACGTCACAACGTAACTGGGTGACTATAAAGGTGCACTATAGGTATCTCCGAAAGTGTCTGTTGGGTTGACACGGATCGAGACTGGGATTTGTCACTCCGTATGACGGAGAGGTATCTCTGGGCCCACTCGGTAATGCATCATCATAATGAGCTCAAAGTGACCAAGTGTCTGGTCACGGGATCATGCATTACGGTACGAGTAAAGCGACTTGCCGGTAACGAGATTGAATGAGGTATTGGGATACCTACGATCGAATCTCGGTCAAGTAACATACCGATTGACAAAGGGAATTGTATACGGGGTTGCTTGAATCCTCGACATCGTGGTTCATCCGATGAGATCATCGAGGAGCATGTGGGAGCCAACATGGGTATCCAGATCCCGCTGTTGGTTATTGACCGGAGAGCCGTCTCG